TATATATGGCATACAATACCTGGCACATAGCAACCACTCAATAAATGGTGTCTACAAAACAAGATGTGAAGGAATGGTTTTTTGTTGTTTCACTTTTTAGCTTATTTATTTATTTAATTTGCTTTTGGTATCATTAATATACACTTACATGAACAACATTGTCATTACTAGATTCCTCCCATTATCAAGTTCCCACCACATACCCCATTATAGTCACTGTCCATCAGCATAGTAAGATGCTATAGAATCACTAGTTGTCTTCTCTGTGCTATACTGCCTTCCTCATGCCCCCACTCCACACTTTGGACTGGAAAGCTGGACAATGGTCTGAGAGCACTATCTCTGCAGCCAGATTACTTGGGTTTAAAGCACACTAGCTATGTGACCTCATACAAGTTAGTTAACCTCTCTGGGCTACAGTGTCCTCAGCTAATAAACTAGGTACAATAATAGTAAGAATAACTACCCACAGGATTATTATACAAATAAAAAGCAGGGCCTGACATGCAGTAAGTAATATGTTAAGTACTACTATTACTATTACTTATTATTAATTGTGTTATTATTATTACTATTTTTGTAGGTAGGCCCTTATTAAACGAACTAGCAGTTTTAGCTTCACAAACTAACCTGAATATTAACTTTTCAGAAGAAATGGAAAGAGAGTTTATAAAACTTTCCTAATGAATCAGATTTTAGGGAGTTATGCTTAAAATAAACAGTTGCTATTTATCTATAGTATGCTGTAACCCACAGAAATAGAGTCTTAGAACTTAGAAATCTGTATATTAATGAAGTGGTTTTTTAATTAAACAATTTAAAATTATTTCCCACATATTAGAAAAATGAATAAATGTTAGTTTTTTTCTTTAATATAGAAAAAAAGACATAATTATCGATTACAATTTGTTCATTAAAATAGGATCACTGACAAATATAGGTGATTAATAAGTAAAAGGTTCATACTTCAAATATAAGGAAAATTTCTACTTACATTAACTTAATAATTTGTTTAGCAACTGAATGACCTGTTGCATCAAGTAATTTGTATAAAGAATAGTAGTCTTTGAGTTCATCAGAAAATTCACCATCAAATAGGACACAGACACATTTTCAAATAATTAAAGATAGTATAAAAATATACCAATTATTCATATTCAGTAAACCTTATACATAATATTAATTTTTAAAAAGCCAAGGTCCCATATATTCTGATTCCTTCCTCCTCATCTCCAAGGCTTATTTGTGCAAGTGGACATACCATCTGACTTAACTAGTACCCTGAGTGGCTTCCTGTCACCAACTCTTTTCTCAACTCTCTACTAAAAGGAGGAAAGGGCAGGAGCTTGGTGGGTATAACTACACATTTACGAATCCTGTGCTTGTCACCATATCTGTAATATGTTCTGGCAGTTAAATTATTAATAAAGAACAATTTGTTGTTTATGTTCTGTCTCACTATTTCTGGAAAGGGAAAATAAAGTTTTGTTTTTTTCAATGTAAGTTGTAATTCTTCACCAACTTAATTTTCAAAATAAATACCCAATTATGCTGAATTATTACATTGTCTACAAAGATATATGCATCATGTATACATATAATGCATAGATGTATAAACTATATGTTATGCCATATACAAAAGAAATGAAATTAACTTTAACTTTGTAACTTACTGGATTCTCTTTCCTCTTTATTAATTTGAATTCTTAAAGCTCAGCAGTTTTAGTTTTCCATTATTTATAAGTTCCTTGATAAGAAGACACCAAATCCATGTTTTTGGCACACCACAGAATCTGGTGTGGCCATTTGCACAAAATAAACAGAATTTGTTTATTCATCACCTGACTGCTATTCAGTGACAGCAGCTACAGGAGATCCTTCAAACAAATAGTTCCCACTGAAGAAATGAAGCTCATGGAGTTCCTTGCATCTCCTTTGCACAATGACCCCATTATGGCAGGTGCTATGTTAGGCCAGCCACACCACTACTCTTCTCCATCAGCCAACATCATCTCCAGCTCATTCCTAGAACAAATTTCAGCATTCTCAAGGGATCATTTATTTACAAGCCTATGTTAAACTGCTATTAATTTATCTTCATTTCCTAAAATATAAATCTGATATTCTTCCTCTCTCCAAAAGTCTTCTATGGCTCTCATTTCCTAAAGGACAATTTCAAATACTTTAGCTTAACATTTTTGCATCTCCAGTAGTGGGTAGAAATTGATAATTTTGGCCTTATCAATCAATGCCCAGCTGCGCAGATTATGTCCTGGTAGTTCCATTAAATCTTGCAGATCCACCTGAGCTAGAAATGAGCGCTTTACTTTATACTGCTATTCTGGCACTTATTATTGCCTTAACTATATTTGTTTCAAACTGTATATAGATTTCAGTGTGAACTGTAGCACATAAGAGGGGTAGAGATAAGAAGTTTTTAGATTAATAGTTACTGAGTATCATGTGCTAGGTGCTGTGCTTTATAAGCATCATGTCACTGAAAACTTATAACAACCTACTTAAGCAGATTATTATTACTGTCTCCATACTGCAGTGAGGATAGCAAGACTTAAGGAAGTTAAATAACTTGCCCAAGGCCTTGTAGCAAGTAAGCACAGAACCCAGACTGAAAACACAGGTCATTCTGCTAGTGCGTAACATAGTCAATGGCATATAATGCAACACAATTTTAGTGTGAAAGTAATACTACAAATTTTATTCTTATTTTAGGGAAACTGAGGCTTGGAAAGGTACAGTAGCTTGCCCAAGGTCACAGAGTCAGGAAGTACAAGAGATCAAAAAAAGGGAATAATCAGAAAGCAAAAAAAGAGTTCTTATAAATTAAAAATAGGGTAGCTAAATGAAAATTCAATTAGTTTATCTTCAATGGAAGGAAAAATTAAGAATATCTTCCAACAAGTAAAACAAAAAGATGAGAAATAGAAAATAGAAGAGATCAGAAATCAATCCTAGAGATTCAATTTCGACTAAGGAGATTTAGAATATGGGAACAGAGAAAAGGGAAGGGAGGAAATTTTCAAAGAAATAATATATGACACAGAATGTAAGCAGTCCACCAAAATCCATTTCCCTCTTCTTCCTGGGTGCTAGATTACATTTCTCAGATTCCCTTAAGTGACTAAGTGCTCTCAAATTGAATGTAAATGAGAGTAATAGGAGCCATTTCCAGGCCTGGCTTATAAATTCTCCCACGTGTTTTCACTTTCCTGTGGAGTGAAATGGCAATGAACAAAATGATCTTAGGAATCACATGATAAAGAGGCAGAACCCTCTTGCTGCCCTAGAACATCTGCTCTGCACAATTACATGAAAAATAAACTTATATTATGGTGGAGCCACTCCATTTTGGGGTCTATTTGTTATAAAGTTTAAAGTTTGTTAAAAGTTTAGCCTACTCTAACACGATACATATGTATTTCCCTTCCAGAATTGAAAGACATAATTCTCCAGTAAAAACAATATTTCATACTAAAAAACAAAATAATTACTGTACACTACTTTGTTCAACAATGAATAATGAATAATAATTACATAGTGACAATAATTTAAGTGTGATTTTTAATAAAATTTAAAATTGTGATAAAGTATATTGGGAGGATAAGGGGAAGCAAAATGGAGTAATGGTGGTGGTGAAAAATACTAAATTATTATCTAGCCTATGAGAAAGTCAAAAGATAGTTTTAAAAATTGATAAATAAAAAAAATTGGAATAAACTCATTATTTGAAATATAAAAGTGAATACCAGTCTTTGGGCAATGGGACTGGGAAATGGAGAAAGAGAAAGCAAGAGCTGCTGTTTGTAGATATCTAATATTTAAACTATGTGTTATGAATTACTTTGATATAATTAAATGTTTAAAAATGTCTGAGAGGAATTGGGAATTGAATACAGATGAGATGGATAAGAAATGAAACAGTATGCTAGGTTTGAGGTGGTGGAGTAGAAAGATAGGGAAAAAGGAAGAAAATAGTCTGCTGTCCCCCGGCCAGATCTCCAGTTTTCAGCCTTACAGTAATCTCATAATGCCCAGAAACGTTTGTAAGTGTAGATAGATAGATAGATAGATAGACAGATAGATAGATAGATAGATAGATAGATAAAAAAGTCAGGGATTCTGTTATTTGACAAGATATTAGTTTCCTGGCTCTGCTAAGGTCCTCTATACACACTGTAACACTCTGTCCCACATGGAAGCATGTCACCTTGGCAGACGCTAGCCTTTGGAAGAAGTGTTTGTGTTTGTGTGTGTGCGATGAGTGTTAGGGGTTACAGATTTCAGTCTCATGCAAACGGGAACAGGGTAACTGGGCAGCTAAGGAAAGGGCAGTTTGGGAAGCACAGCAGTAACTTAATAGGAAGAGACAAACATTACAGAAAAGTGGAGGAAGAGAAGCAATAGATGGAAGGAACTTTACTTAGAAACATAAAGATGCAAAGAAAGGACAGTGCTGTGGCCTAAGTAATCATGGAGATGTACATTTGGAGGGCTGGCCTTAATCATGGCAAATACCTTTACAGTTGACCCTTGAGCACATGGGTTTAAAATGCATGGGTCCACTTATATGCAGATTTTTAATAAATACATTGGAAAATCTTTTGGAGATTTGCAACTATTTGAAAAACATTTTTCCCCTAGCTTCTTTATTGTAAGAATACAATAATATGCAGCACATATATACAGAAATAATACAGCATATAATACAGATAGCATACAAAATATGTTATTAGACTATGTTATTATGTTATTGGTAAGGCTTCCAGTCAACAGTAGGCTATCAGTAGTTCAGTTTGGAAGGAGTCAAAAGTTATTCTCAGATTTTTGACTGCATAGGGAATTGGTGTCTCTAAGCCATGTGTTGTTCAAGGGTCAACTAGTGTGGTTTCAGAATAGAACCCATCATATCTCAAATGAGGCCAATGCTATGCATTTTTTAATTACTGAACTCAAACCTACTTTAAAGGAAACCATGTACCTACCCTTTGAGGAGCATAAACAGGATATGAGGATGAGCACTAATGTACTCCACAGTAGGACTGCAAGTGCCTATCTGTCTTCTCAGGATGTTGTTAAATATCTGGGTCACATCTTTTTTTCCCTGTTAAAGAAACAAGCAACTATTAAATTGTACACTTGAAATGGGTGAATTGTATGGCATGTGAAATACATCTCAAAACCTGTTTATATACATACATACAAACAGAAATAACATTGTCCTTTAATGTATGTGAAAACATTAATTTACTCTTTTCATGTATTTTTAGTCAGCTGTGCTTTCAAACACTCAAACACAGAGTCTACAAAATGGTTGCATCTCCTTCCCACAGGATTTGCACTCTGGGAAATATGAACAATTAAAGACTATTTCCCACAATAGTAGATGAAATGGCACAGAATAATAAAAAATAGTAGTGAATATGACATAATTGAATCCCTTATGTTTCTTTTACCTTTTAGCTTTATATGAGAAGCAAATTATGATTAACATTTTTAAATCTTTACAAATAAGGAGAGGAATATAGATGAAGAAAATACGGATTTTAGCATATGTAGGTTAGAATCAAATTCCTTTTTGTTTTTTTGTCCATTTATCCATTCCCCATCCACCCTGATGCATTTTAAAATAAATTTTCTATTAGGTGGATATATTTGACTTATGTGATAGTAAGAAATCATATCTACCCTAGGCAAATAGGACCACTCAGTTCCAGTAGCCTGAAGCAGACAAACTATAGTAAATCTTGGATAGAGCTTCTTAGAATCTTTATAAGACTTTCACTCTCACATACTCAAGTCTGCTTCTAGCCTGCTTCTCCAGTTGAAGCCCTGGACTGAACTGGAGTTGTTTACACAGAAAATAAGGACAAGAATGGAATGCCATTATCAGTTACTATGGCCCTGGTTTTGGCCTTCATCTTTCACCTAAACTATTAAAGAGTGTTCTCCAGTTATGCTTTCCATGTCACAGCTAAGCTGGAAAAGTGCATACGTAACTGCACTCTGTGTGTCCAAGGGAAGAAGGAAATTCAGGAACTTCACTGCCATCTTGGTCCAAAATGACAGTAATTTTTTAAATGATAAAATTCAATGCTGGCTCTACTACAAAGCCACAGTAATCGAGACAATTTGGTACTGGCACAAGAACAGACCCATAGACCAATGGAACAGACTAGAGAGCCCTGATATAAACCTAACCATATATGGTCAATTAACATATGATAAAGGAGCCATGGACATACAATGGGGAAATGACAGCCTCTTCAACAGCTGGTGTTGACAAAATTGGACAGCTACATGCAAGAGAAAGAAACTGGATTATTGTTTAATCCCATACATAAAAGTAAACAAGAAATGGATTAAAGACTTGAATGTAAGTCATGAAACCATAAAACTCTTAGAAGACAACATAGGCAAACATCTCCTGAATATAAACATGAGCAACTTCTTTCTGAACGCATTTCCTCAAGCAAGGAAACAAAAGCAAAAATTAACTCATGGGAGTACATCAAACTAAAAAGTTTATGTACAGCAAAGGACACCATCAACACAACAAAAAGGCATCCTACAGTATGGGAGAATATATTTGTAAATGACATATCCAACAAGGAGTTAACATTCAAGATATATAAAGAACTCACATGCCTCAACACCCAAAAAGCAAATAACCTGATTAACAAATGGAAAGAGGATATTAAGAGACAGTTCTCCAAAGAAGAAATTCAGATGGCCAACAGACACATGAAAAGATGCTCTACATCACTAATCATCAGGGAAATGCAAATTAAAACCACAATGAGATATCCCCTCACACCAGAAAGAATGGCCAGCATTGAAAAGACTAAGAACATCCTGGTGAGGATGCAGAGAAAGGGGAACCCTCCTACACTGCTGGTGGGAATGTAAGCTAGTTCAACCATTGTAGAAACCAATATGGAGGTTCCTCAAAAAACTAAAAATAGAAATACCATTTGACCCAGGAATCCCACTCTTTGGAATTTACCCAAAGAATACAAGTTCTCAGATTAAAAAAGACATATGCACCCCTATGTTTATCACAGCACTTTTTACAATAGCCAAGATATGGAAGCAACCTAAGTGTCCATCAGTAGATGAATGCATAAAGGAGATGTGGTACATATACACAATGGAATACTACACGGCCATAAGAAAGACACAAATCCTACAATTTGCAACAACATGGATGGAGCTGGAGGACATTATGCTCAGTGAAATAATCCAGGTGGAGAAAGACAAATGCCAAATGATTTCCCTCATTTGTGGAGTATAACAATGAAGCAAAACTGAAGGAACAAAAGAGCAGCAGACTCAGAGACTCTAAGAATGAACTAATCGTTACCAAAGGGGAGGGGTGTGGGAGGGTGGGTGGAGAGGGAGGGAGAAGGGGATTGAGGGGTATTATGTTTAGTACACATGGTGTGGGGGATAGAAAAAACACTATGCAAAATCCAAATCTTAATAGAAAATTAGGAGGTGAGCCTTCAATTTGAAAGGACTTTACAATCAGTTGCACTCATAAGTTTAAAATACTAAGAAATATTCCTAGTACCTGTATTTCACTTATGCCCATGATAAAGAACATATTTGTGGTATAAAAGTGGTATAGCTTTAAAAATAAATGAAATTTAAAATGAAAGAAGTCATCTGTTTTATTCAAACATTTCTAGACTCTACAGTAATACTGCAGAATATCAATCTTCTCTGAAATGTTGTAAGTGGGTGTTTTTCATACTTCCCAGTAAAATGCCACAGAACATTTCCATATGGCATTCCAGTGAACAGTAGAAATGAAGTACCACAGAACTCTACCAACTTTTACACAGAGGAAAACATTCTTCTAGTTCATTAGCAAATAAGTGCAAAGGCAAAGGAAGCCCCCTGTGGATAACAAAAGCAAGTTCTGCCACCAGAGATAGCTTCCCGAAACAGAGAAAAGGATCAGAATTTAAAGAATTAGAGAAAATTTAAACAGATACAAGATGATAAATGATGGTTTCTATAAAATATGTAACATTTGTAGATATTCATTCATCACAGTATATCTAATGTGTAAGGAGTAAAATCTTAACTATTTCAAAAACAGTCTTCAGCAACCCTCAGACAGCCAGGTCTCAAACTCTGAATTACAAGTGGCCAGAAAAGAAAAAAAAACCTCTAAAAACATCTTGATGATAATGAAGGAACATCTAGAAATGACCAAAAGTATTATAAATTAGCAATTAAATGTGAGGGCATATAATATAACTTGATCAGATATTAAAACTGAAGAGGTACTTGTGTTAGCTGGCAAATTCAAAGAGGTCAGCCCTGACATGAGATGCTCCACAGTTACTTGCAGAATGAATGTATGAAGTATTATCCAGAATCAAACAGGAGAAAAAGAGGGAAGAAAGAAGCAATGAACAGCAGTCACAAAAATTAAGCGTAACTGCTGACTTCTCAGACCACAATATGAAACTACCAATAAATTAGAGAAAGAAAAAAAAGCCTACAAACACGTGGAGACTAAACAATGTGCTTCTAAATAATCAATGTATCAATGACCAAATTAAAACAGAATAAAGCAATACATGAAGATAAATGAAAACAAAAATACAACAGTCCAATTATTTATGGAATGCCACAAAAGCCAACCTAAGAGTGAAGTACCTAGCAATACAGGCCGACCTCAAGAAACAAGAACAATCCCAAATAAACAGTCTAAACTCACAATTAAAGAAACTAGAAAAAGAAGAAAAGAAAACCGAAGTTATAGAAGGAACAACATAATAAAGATCACAGCAGAAATAAATAAAATACAGAAGAATAAAACAATAGAAAAAATTAATGAAACTAAGAACTGGTTCTTTGAGAAAATAAATAAAATCGATAAATTCCTACCCAGAGTTATCAAGAACAAAAGAGAGAGTACACAAATAAATAAAATCAGGAACAAAGAAGTAGTAGTCACAATAGATACCACAGAAATACAAAGAATTATTAGAAAATACTATGACAAATTGTATGCCAACAAACTGGACAACTAGAAGAAAACAGCTTCCTAGAAAAATACAACCTTCCAAGATTGACCCAGTAAGAAATAGAAAATCTCAACAGACCAAATTACCAGGAATGAAATTGAACTGGCAATCAAAAAACTCCAATAAAAAAATCCCAGGACCTATTCTTCACAGCTGAATTCTACCAAACATTTGAAGAGTAGCTAATGCCTATCCATCTTAAGTATTTCAAAAATTAGAAGAGGAGGGAATACTTCCAAACTCATTCTATGAGGCCAGCATCACTATAATATAAAGATCAGGCAAAGACACCACAAAAAAAGAAAATTACAGACGAATATCCCTGATAAACATAGATGTGAAACTTCTCAACAAAATATTAGCAAACTGAATGAAAATATACATCAAAAGGATCATCCATCACGACCAAGCGGGATTTATTCCAGGGATGAAACAATGGTATAATATTCATAAATCAATCAATAGCAAATACTATATTAACAAAAAGGATAAAAGCCAGATGATTATCTCAACAGATGCTGAAAAAACATTTGACAAAATTCAACATCCATTCATGATAAAAACTCTCAACAAAATGGGCATAGAGGGTACATACCTCAATGTAATAAAGGCCATATATGACAAGCCCACAGCTAACATCATGCTTAATGGTGAAAAGCTGAAACTTTTCCTCTAAAATCAGGAACAAAACAAGGATGTCCACTCTCAGCACTTTTACTCACCATAGTGCTAGAGATCACAGCCACAGCAATTAGATAATGCAAAGAAATAAAAGGCATCCAAATTGGTAAGGAAGAAGTTAAACTGTCACTATTCACAGATGACATGATGTTATACATACACAACACTAAAGACTCCACCAAAAAACTTTTAGAACTAATGACTGAATTCAGCAAAGTTGCAGGATACAAAATTAATACACAGAAATCTGTTGCATTCCTATATACTAACAATGAACTAGCAGAAAGAGAAATCAAGAAAACAATTCTATTTATAATTGCAAAAAAAAGATTAAAATACTTAGAAATAAACCTAACCAAGGGGGTGAAAGACCTATACT